TTATTCTTTTCAAGTTCCCTATATGAACAACATGATAGAGATACATATGAAAGATCATTAAGTTCTATGAAAATCATAAGCATTGACATGATATTCGTAACTATGAAAAGTATGATAGTCCTGCCATGGATTTACTCAACACAATCATGACTAGTGACTTCCCTTACTTATAAATTTAAGTTCATAACGATTAGGTGAAATTCCCTTATATTCTAGCATCAAATTCATGCATGCAAACTAATTATGCATTCTTAATCAACATACAAGAATAAGTTATCAATCAAACAGATAAGTAAATCACATTCATGTTTTACTAAACAATAACTGGAGGAAATCAATTCATATCGTATATATTTTCATGGCTTTGAATTCTCCTCTAGCTAAAATGAGTTTAGCTCCTCATGTTCGCAATTAAACAAGTATAATTAAATTTAAACATTGAAAACAGAAGATTGAATACACCTAGAAACGCTCCAGCAATCCAAAAAGTCTTGAATTGTAGGTACGACTCCAAGCTATCCTCTCATTCCTTGCAAAGTTGTGGCACAATGGTGTTTGTCTCTGAAATTAGGTTATGGTGTGTGGTGGATGAGGTGGTGTCCTTTTTTGGTGCGGCAGAAAGCATATATGTAAAGGGAGAAACCCTACTTAATTTTGGAGAAGGATTTGCAATCCAAATCCACAAGGAAAAGGGCTAATTAAAATTAGAGTCCAAGAAGGAAAGGGAAAGAAAGGTGCGACAGGATCCTAGAGGGAAAGGGGATGGAGTGCACGACAAGGAATGGGTTTTCTAGAAGGAATAGGTGCAGCACCCTTGTAGGAATAGGATTAAGCCTTCTAGAAACATATACTTAGGTGTCCTAATATAATTAGGGATCCCCTTGGCAGCTGGAACTTAGGTAGTGTAGGATTAGTTTGGCTCATGCTCCTCCTTTCTTGCTGAGCTCCAAATCTTCTTTGTCTTGAATTAAGTCTTCCATCTCTCTAGCATAATCTTAGCCCTTCTTGAACTTCAAATTCATCCATCCACCTTGCTCTATGCATGTGCTATCCATTCCAAGCCCAAAATTGATCTAAAATGCTCCAAATTACCTTTTCTTACCACTTTTGCCAATTGAACCTACAAACACACGAAAATAGCTTAAAACACTCAAATAAATATAAACTAACTGAATAAATGCAAGGAAATAAGCTAACAAAGTCGCATAAATATGCTCCTATCAATAGATGCATTTTATGTTAAGAGTGGGCTTCTTTGTCGGGCATTGATCTTCATCATAGGTATGCTTGTCTAACTTTTCTCTGTCTTTGTGTTCGACCGAGCCCTTTTTCCTTCCTTTGTCCTTGACATTCAACACTATCCTTGATCTAGTAGTTCTTCAATATAATCCCTCAACATGTGGTAGTTCCTAGTAGCGTGACCGGTGCTTTTGTGGAATGAGCAATAGTCATTTGGTTCTTCATCGCTAGATGCTCGGGAATGGCTTTGGGCACCGAAGGCATGGTTTGTCTTTTATGCTATGAAGGAATGTTGTTGATGGTGTTGTTTAGAGCAGTGTACTAGTTCGACTTGGGCAGGGCTTAATTGTCTCGACAACCTTCTTTAACAATTTGACGTAAGGAAGAGGGAGGAGTGTCCTTGTCGTTCATTCTTCTGTCAATCCTCTTAGCATAGTCCTGTTCGGCGATTATCTTAATAGTTTTGTCATCCCAATTCATGAGATCGTCTACGATATCAAAACATTATGCCAGAGTGGTGTAGTCATACTTTATTTAATTCAGCTTTTGGAGAGGGGTGAATAGATGTAAAGGCATTGCTTGAACGCCATGGTAGGCAATCGATCATCTGGCTCCTCTACTTCTGCCAACTGCACACAGAAGTGCCTCAAATAAGTTATAAGGCCTTTGTCTCTAGATTGAGGAGCCATTCTACATATGGCCTTGTGGCGTTTGCGTATATCGCGATACATCGAGTAAATGTTGCTGAAGATGTTAGCCAACTTTCAAAGCAATCAATGGATCTAGCTGATAACTCTGAGTACCACTTCATCACTAGTCCGTCCAAGGTGGACGGGAACACCTTACATATCCAAGCATCATTGTTGCTATACAATGCCATGTGCATTCTGATAATGCATAATATAGTAGTTCGGGTTAAAATCACCACAAAATGAGTTGAACTGCGGCTGGGAGAACTTTTTCAGTAGGGGTATGGCTTTGATAGTCTTTGAAAGTGGGGTCATGATCTGGAGTGTTGGCCTGCTAGGGATGCGAGAAAGGTCATCTTGACCAAGCCTTTAGAGGTTATCTTGTTCAGGGCAAGTTGTTGTTCTTGCTTTGAAGATACGGGCTCGTCCAACCTCAGGCTACGGGGCTCCATTTTAGTGCCTCTATCGCGTTCAGAGGAGGAGAATCTTATGGGGCTCGAAGCTTGCTTGCAGAAGCCACATTGGAGACCTGCCCGTCGCGCAAGGGACCCTTACTTGGACTACTGATGTTTGCTAAAATTGGGACAACGAGTGACCCTATGGTACTGTTTGATACGTGGGACGGGACGGAACAGAGTGGGACAAGGCGTTCCGTCCCACATTTGGTGCGCCTAAAACAGTTGGAACGAGCTGTTCCACGGGATGAGTTTTGGGTGAATTTTCGTTCCACCTCACCCCCTGGAACGACTCATTCCACATCCGTGGAATACAAAATTATAACCTCTCCGTCTCCTTCTTCTTCCTCCTTGTTTCCATCCGAGGGCATCTTTGCTCCCGCTCCGTTCCGTTCCATCCTGTCCCGTCCCGTCCCGTCCCGTTCCATTCCGTCCCGTCTCGTCTGCATACCAAATGATACCATTATAGGTTCTCTTTTAGGGGCTATGGTACTTATGTTCCCGTACCAGAAAATAGGAATCTGAGCTTGGGGGCAGTTCCACTCGAATTGTCCATTTCTCATTGTCATATGTCATTAATTATTTATATTAATTATGTTTCACTCTCGCTTATTTTCCTTTAATATGATCTACTTGATCTCTTTCTCTTTTGTTTGCAATATTCTCTTTGTATTTTGTCTCTTCGTCATCTCCGAGTCTCTTGCAGTCTCATGACTTTTGTTGAAATTCTTCAAGAACTCGTTACTCAAAAGCTTGATAGCCTCTGCTGGGGAATTCCCGCCTCCTTGTCCGACAACCGAAAATTAAAAAACTGCAGCAATTTATTCTTATTTTCTCAACCGCACAATTTCTGTGTGATTTATTCCCAACCCCGCAGGAAGCCCTCCCGCGTAGCCGTGCTACAGTCCAACTGCAGCAAGCTTCCAAACCAGAAAGCCTTTACAAACGGGCAGTGGAAGAACAGATGATTTTGAAACCAGCAAGGGTTGTGAAACTTGAAAAGTTACCAGAACACCATATATATAGTATCTAAGCTGCGTATTTTTCTCAATTATTTGATTGCTGCGATTCAGTGGAATATATGAACATCAGTCTGGAGAGAATTTTCTGAATAGAAGAGCATATGAGGATCGACATATAAGAGGACAAAAAGGAAGGTGAGTATGAAAGGATCAAAACACAATTAACTATTGAAGAGTGAGAATTAAAGTCATAATTAAAAAGTTTCTGATTTAATTTCTATTGTATATATTTTTTAAATACTTAAGGAAAATTAATTGCCATGACATCTTGACCATTAGAAGTGGGCAAATCTAATGGTCTAAAACTTGTGTCATATCTTGTGTAAAAAAATATGATGTCAGGGATCCGCCCCTATAACAATTAAAAACAATAATAGAGTAATATTATTCTTCACATAGTCCTCGCAAAGAAATAAAGGAAAATTAATGAAAAAATATTGAAAACTTTGAGTTTTAATCAAAAGGACAAAAAGATATTGTAAGTGAATAGTACCAGGAATGACTTTTTAGAGTAAAAATATCATTTTCGTTAAAGGTGAATAGTACCGGGAGTGTTTCTTTAAAACTTCCAAGAAATAAAGGTCATTTTGGTTCTAGTCCTTTGTCAACATAATTGTTAGAATGAAACCTTATTTATCTAAATAGTTTGATCGAGGTCCTTAATACCATTTAAGGGATTTAACTTTTGCATTTCTACATTCAATATCTCATAAATTATGAAATTTAAACAAATTCAAATAATATTTTTACAATATAATAATTACTTAAGAATCAATAACAAAGTAATATTGATCTTCAAATAGTTCTAGCAAAAAAAAAAATAAATAACCCATGTAATTATTCATACATTTTAGAAATTATTACTATATTTTAAAACATGAAGTAAATACATGCAATTAGCATGGGTACATTGAGCCAAAAAAATATGGGTACATATTAAAATATAAAATTATGGATGCAAATTAAAACTAATAAGAATATTACGCAAACTTATAAATTGGATACAAATTAAAAACATAAATATATATAAAAAATAAAAAAAAAACTAAAATGATAGATTTGGAAATATTTAATTAGATTTTCATTTTTAGAATTAACACACGGTGACATGTAGATAATTTAATGTCCAATAGTGACATAGATAACAGTCAAACGACATTGATCAAAAATGAAAAATGAATAAGGTTTCAATTAATGAGAAATGAAAAAGAGGGATGAGAACCTAATTTATCCATGGGACATTTTGATTCTGATCCTTAGTCAACCTAAATGTTAGATGAAACCTTATTTATTTAAATAGTTTGATCAAGGTCCCTAGCATCATTTAAGAGATTTATCTCCTACATTTATGCATCCAATATCCCACAAATTATGAAAATTAAACAAATTTTAATAATTATTTTATAATATAAAAATTACTTAAGAATGATTAAAAGTAATAATGTTCTTCACATAGTTCTAGCAAAAAAAAAAAAAAAAGAAAGAAAAGAAAACGGATATACCCACGTTATTATTAATATATTGTATGAAATTATTAATATGTTTTAAAACATGAATTAAATTAAAAACATTTGGGTACATAACAAAACAGAAAATTATGGATACAAATTAAAGACAATATCGATTGAGCCATTGAACGTTCGAAAGAGTAAGTTTCTATTTTTGTATTTGGCTACTATAAGTTCGAACATGGGTAAGCTAGACACATAGCTTTTGCCAATTTTTCATATGTATTATCAACTATTTTTCCGAACAAGAAATAGGAAAATTGGAATGAAAAGCATCCGCTGTCAAATAGATAGGACAAAGGTCTTCTAAACCTTTGATATAGGTCAGGATCCCATTGGAGCACCTTCTACTTCTAATAGGCCATGAACTAGATCAGAATCATTCTCAAGCTTCATAAATTTTGAAGATTGGCAGCTGCCGCACATAGAACAGTTTCGAGCCATCGATTCTTCATATGATCGGGAACCTTTTCTCCTTATTCTTCTAGTGCTACTTTGTGCGGGACTACAACTCTGTGAAGCAAGTGAAAACATGCAATAACATCAAAATCATTTAGGTACCTACATGAATACTGTCAACAACAACGTAAATGAATGTTTAGTAGCAAATGACTTCTACATGAATAATTGACGCGCACACATCAACAGTCGAAAATCACTTTTTTCAGTCTTCCTGATTGCCTGAAGAAAATTCTTTTAGCATTTACCATAAGTCTGGGTATCCTATTACTCAAATTGAGAATAAGTTAATTCATGTTCTCACCTCATCACCATCTTTCGATGTTCCATGTGCCTGCTCTCTTGTAGTTTCTTCCTTGATCCACTTGTTTGCATCACTTAGTGATCGGAATCGCTTTCCAGTTGGAATATGATGGCAATACTGCAATTTGGACAGCATGTGTTAATTATTTCCGATGGATTTGGCACATGACATAACAATTTTCAAGACGAATCCATATGAAAATGAAAATTTATCACTAATTAGGGAACCCTATGATTACTGATCCCTCAGTGTCCCCTGAGTAGTGTTCACTTTTAATAGGCAATATTTCCTATAATTTTCTTAAGAATAGAAAGCAAAACTACGTGTGAATCTGTAGTCAAAGCAAATACATGAAACAAGGCATATTTCTTTTTAATAGTATGGAATTAAACAGGTCTAAAATCACTAGATCTGATAAGATTGAGGTACTAAACGTTATTTACGAACTTTATGACTTACTACAAATCAGACAGCAATTTCAATTTGATTGGATGAACTCTCCGGATGAACAAAGTAATTAACTGTAATTAATCCAAGATATATTAATTTGTTAATGATAGAATTAACCTTGTCTGTTCGGCAGCGGCCTTTGACAGTGGTACGTGGCTTTTCCTCCACAGCCCATCCCTCGGGCAGTCCATAATTTTCTCCAGGAACAAACTTCACCTGAAGCTGTGGTGCTGATACAGCTTGTAGAGGGACGGCATCATATGACACTGCACAAAGCACCCTATCTCCCTCTGCTTGTTCTTCCTTTTGTGCAGGGAGAGATCCAAACTGTTGCTTCATTTTCAGTAACTTGGTGGCTGCAGGGATCAACTGCTCTCCTCTGGATTTGCTAGCAGCTTTGGTGTGAATTGTTGCACCTACGGACCTAGACAAATTTAAAGGATGAGTACAAAAGAAAAACAAAATTGAGTTGTCACAGTTTGTATGTAGTCAGTGTGGCACGTCCAAGTTGAGAAAGTGTGTAATTGATTTAGATTTGTAGTATCTGGACCAAAATGGTAATCACTAAAGTCACGAGAAAATCAAGTTTGAATTCTCGTAATCTAAATATATTGTTGTACATAAAAAAATTATTTTTGTTCTGGTTTTTTTATCAACTAAGTTGTTAAACTAAAATTGTGTTTGTTTAAATATTTTGATTGAAGTCCTTAACTGTGACATCCCACATCGTTCAGGGGAGTGATCCTTATATGTATATTCTCATCCCTACCTAGCACGAGGCATTTTGGGGGCTCACTGGCTTCGGGTTCCATGGGAACTCTGAAGTTAAGTGAGTAGCGCGCAAGAGCATTCCCAGGATGAGTGACCCATCGAGAAGTTCTCATGTGAGTTCCCAGAAACAAAATCGTGAGGGCATAGTCGGGGCCTAAAGCGGACAATATCGTGCTACTGTGGTGGAGCAGGCCTAGGAAGTGATCCGTCCCGGGCCCGGATGTGACAAATTGGTATCAGAGCCTAACCCTGGCTGCGTGTGTGCTGACGAGGATGTCGGGCCCCTAAGGGGTGGATTGTGACATCCCATATCACCTAAGGGAGTGATCCTTATATGTATATTCTTATCCCTACCTAGCACGAGACCTTTTGGGAGCTTACTGGCTTCGGGTTCCATGAGAACTCTGAAGTTAAGCGAGAAGGGGGCTAGAGCAATCCCATGATGGGTGACCCACTGGGAAGTTGCCAGTGAGTTCTCAAAAATAAAATCGTGATAGAATGGTAAGCACAAAGCGGACAATATCGTGTTACGGTGGTGGAGCGGGCCCCGGAAGTGATCTGTCCCGAACCGAGATGTGACATTAACATCATTGTAATACTTACTTAATAATCAACAACAGAGTAATATTGTTCTTCACATATATAGTTATAGCAAACAACAATATACCCACGCAATTATTAATATTTTAAAAAATTACTATTAATATATTTTAAATATAAAATAAATACATGTAATTAGCATAAGTACATTCAGCAACAAGTATATGTCGGTGCAAACTAATTTAAAAATATAAGTACATATTAAAATTTAAAATTATGAGGTACAAATCAAAGTTAAAAAATAATGGGCATATAAAGAAAGTAAAATACATAGGTAGAAATTAAATCTAAAAAAATATTTGTACAAAATAAAAAAAATAAAAAATAGAAATATATGAAAAATATTAAAAGGGTATATTTAATATTGATTGAATAAGTCTTTAAAATTTTAAAATTGAAATATATTGACATTTAAATCATTTAATATTCAAATAACGACGTGGTCAAAAGTCAAAGGACTTTCATAAAAAAAATATAAAAATAAACAAAGCTTCATTTAATGAGAAAGAAAGTACTTAATTTAGGGGTGTGATATCCACACTTCTTTTTACTTTTTACATACTCATCTAATTTTCGACCTTCGGATCAGAGGAATTGAAGAAGATCAAATGACAGAAATTAACAAGGGGTTTATAAGTGTATTTTTCTTTCTAATGATAGAAATTTTGGAGTGTGAAACAAAATTTTTAGGATGTCAATAGTAATTTCCTAAGTAAAAGGAGTTTGTATAGGACTCTTCTCATGACGTCCCTCGAAACATCATTTTGGAGTAAAAGTACTTAAAACCATGATTTTGAAGAAAACAAACTCTTGGACCCAACTAGTATTGGAGGCTTTGCACTTAGCATATGTCCATTAAATAGTTTAAAAAAAAAAAATTCATCTTATACTATTAGAATGAAAAATAATAATCATTTATTTTTCTATATAGGTATATAACATTTTAAATTCATGTAACAACGTCATTAACTTTTTGAAAATGACTTCACTATCCATTTCCAATGCCCCTTAATAGAATAAACTTAACACCTTCAACCTAACTGATCCACTTCCACCTCCACCCTCCACCTTTCACCACCTGCCATTTCACCCTCACCACCATCGCCACCACAACCCCGGTCACCCTACAGCCTCACCACCACTGCCACCACTTCCAACACACCCAAATTCTCTATTGTATTTCCCCTCTGATTCTACCACAAAAAATGAAAAATAAAAAACAAAATAGACATCAAACAAGTCCTCCATTTTCAATTCATACATTTTTCTTCATTCTCCCTCATGAAGCAATAATATAAACACGTTCAATGGAAAAATAAAATTGTTGAAAGCGGTTGCAGAAAGCAAAGTAAATATCATTACAATGCACGCTATTAAAATTTTAATTCATAAATTAAAAAATAACAAGAAACTGTGATAATAATATTTTTATTATTGAACATGTACCTCTGGTAAATCATCGATGCGATATTTATATTTATATGCCAAAAATTTGATAACCAGAAGCATCTACAGTTTCGTCTTGCCCTTCATTGGCCTCTAAAATCAGCATCTTTTTTTCAGTGAAAACTAAAACCTAAGGAATTCTCTAGAACTATTAAACTTCTGGTAAATCTTTGGGTCCTTTAATACATGCAATGGAATTCTCTAGAACTAGTTTTGAAAATAAACAGTGGGTTTAAATCTGTGGGTGGGATTAAGTTAATAGTAACTTTAAAACTGTGGGCGGGATTAAGTTTTGAAAAATAATTTTAGCACTCCTGTCTTTTACTTAAATACTCATCCCTTTGTTTTTCTGTCTTAATTACTCCCTTACTTAGTTAAAAGAAAAAAAAAATAGTAATAAGGAACAAAAGAAAGTGCAAAAATCATTTCCGTCTAATCTTTTCAATACCTTTGTTTTATTTTCCTTTTCCTCCAAACGTTTTTGGAAGTATATCTTGGTCATTAATGGGATGTGGGATCATGATTTTTCAAGATCGAAGTAAGACAGATAGAAATACATGTACTTTAGAAGTCCATTCATGGACTCAACAACTTCGATTGATTTGCACTCCTAAGAGAAAATAATATCTGATCTTAGATATCCTCTTGGATTCTTCCAGTTTAATACGAATTCCATATCCTACCTTTTCTCATCTAAGGCATAACTCTGGCACGCAATTCACTCTTGCATACTCCTTGCTTATTTTATTGCCACTAGTGGAGATTGAATATGGCTTACTAATTTGACCATCAAAGAGCTTATGCCTAGCATCACACCGTTACATTAGGACAATTCACGGTTGTTTGCTTTCTTACAGTTAGCTGGACTTGTGTAGCCCATCCATCTATGGCGATACGCAAATTTGATTTCAACAATTAGTACTTTCATTGAGAGCTGAACTCATATTCCCTCGACCAAATCATTTTACTAAATCAGCATATCTACTGAAGATAGTTCTAGGAGCGCTGACGCAATACTAATGCTAGAAACCACCAACCCCCCTGACACCTCTATCACTCCTTCAAACAACAACGTCCTAATGACAGAGTTCCCTTGGATACTACAAGAGTCTTTCGCATTCAATGCAACCTCGATCTCTACAAGGGGATTCAAGTTCAATGCAACCTCAATCCCTTGGATACTGCAAGAGCCTTTCGCGTGAAGATTAAGAATCTCAATCCAGAGTCATCTGAAGACCAAGAGTGGTGTAGACCATTAAATCATGATATGACCCTAAGGATGCACCGAGTGATGCTCGAAATCAACTCTCTAATAGATTTATCCCCAAGATTAGCAAGGTTGTCGCCATTCACCTCCATCCCATAAAGAAAGCTAGAAGAAATATAATTATTCCCTCGGCCAATAAGATGATGACAAAAGACAAAGAAGACAGGTCAACTTCGTCTCAGCCAAAGAAATACTCTGCTTTGAATAACATAGTTAATAACATCCTTTATAGCATCAAAGGCAAGCCTTTTCTTAAGAGGCCCAAACCTCTTATTGATCATTTAGTCAAGTAAAAGCCCAATAGATACCAAACCATCGATAACACTACTCGGAATTCCTGAATGCTCCGCAATCACATCAAGAAGCTACTTGATTAGGGATATTCCTGGGAGTACATGAAACAAAAGGCTTAGAAGGAGGAACCTACTGAAAGTAATGAGAGGGTTAAGACAGACAATTATGCATTCAGCAACAAGGAAGAAGATCAACATGCAGCTCTTATGATAAATATTTAGATCACAAATGTGATGGTTAACCATGCTCATATATCATGGATCTGAAGTTAAGATCATCTTTGAAAAAGTAGCAAAGAGGATGAAAATTCTAGATAGTATCAACCAGAGTTCGATTACTGTACATATGTTCAAGGGTACTCAAGTCTGATCAGTCAAGACAGTTAAGCTAGCAGTTGAGGGGAAACCCTATAACATTCTAGTATACTTCCATATCATGGACTATCCGACTTCACATAAGGCCATCTTGGGCCGAAATTAGCTTGACATGATGAGAGCAATTCCATCATCATACCACTGGCTACTTTGATATCCTACACGTGACAGAGTAGAAGAGATTAAAGGTGATCATGTCATAGCCCGCTACTGTGCTATGAAAAGCATGATTATGATCTGAAAATGAGAGTGGAGCTTAACAACTTTGAAGGAGACGATCACATAGGAACTCCAACCACCAAAAGATGGAATATCGCCAATATTTAGCTGTACTATTAAGAACCTTTGACCAAACTACTCGTGGTTTGATTTGTTTTTTACATAATAAGTTCATCCATCACGAATTCAACCACAAAGAATTTCAACGTCTTCCTTCTGCACGTAGGCATAGAGAAGCATTTCTAGAGGATGCCTAAGCAAAGACACCCTTATTAAAGATGAACCTTGATGTAAACACACATTGTATAATGATTTCTTAGAACTACACCCTTGACTTGATTCTCCAAGTTTATAGATATGTATGCAGTTCAATGTGGATTCAATCACACCTCTAACATCCCTATAGTCTCCTGTAATCCATTATGTGGTGTTCCGATTAGTAGCTTGGGAAGCTTAAGTCGTGTTAAGCATGATTGTGTTAGGCGGACTATGGACATTGGGACATGACCTTGTTGTTCATCAGCCTTTAGTGCATTGTTCAACTTCCAGAAGATTTACACAACTTAAGGGTTATCGATTACATAATCAAACCTGGGCACGGACCATTCGAAAGAATAATCGGAATGGTGAATCAATAATCATCTGAGTAGTGGCTCTGACCTCCATCTCCATAGTATGATTAATTCTATCTTAGACAAGCGTACTAAGTCAAGTACGTCTACAACTATCTTGTGCTTAAAGCAAGTCCGAATGAGACATGCAGACTAGAAACTCCTCAAATATAATTTTATTCCAGTAAAGCTCTAATTCGCAGAAATAACTTAGCAAAAGTCAATTTACTATACTATGATTAGAAATGCTTAGGTCTGATGCATATAGGTGTTTGATGAAAGGATTCCTATGGTGTTTCTGATTACATAAGCAAGTGACTAAGTCCCTAACACACTTTTTGTTCGAAGTTCACTAGAAATGGACGTGCAATTCGGACTAAGAAGGAAGCTCCTTCTTTGGTACACGTGGTGGTTATTTAAATCCTCATATGTGGAATTGGGCAAGGTGAAAGAACAAACATATTTGCTATTATTAAAATCCTCATAAATCATGTGAATGAAATTATAATTTGGGTGCTTAGGATAGTGGCCCATTTTTTTTAGAACATATTTTCAATTTGGACACTCATGGTGAAGAGCCTTTTTATTTTTTTTTTATTTTTTTTTTATGGAATATTGCTTCACCACCGTTAGATTAGTTTAAATTTCAATATTGTGCAGTAGATAAATTAAATCAAACTCATTCAAACATAATAAATAGGGTGATGAGCATCATTGTTGGGCCAAAAAATATCACCAACAAGCCCAATCATGTTAAAACCTAATCACTGTGAAAACGTCAACCTAGCTTAAACTCATGCATAAGCGAGAAAACGAAGAGTACACAAATTTGCGATCATAGCACACCAATAAAATAGGGAATTGTTATTAGCACTCCAAAAATCTCATTTGGCACTCCAAACTTTCTATAATTAGAAAGAAAAATACACTTGTAAGGGAGTGTAGAATGAGATTTTTGGAGTGCTAATAACATTTCCCATAAAATAATAGTTAATAAATTGGAAGTTTGTAAAATCACACCAAGATCATGCAAATCACGCATATTTATCGTGCCAAGCTGTATTATGATATTAATACATTTACATTATAATTCAAGTCACACCAAGCATGAGACATGCTTAATGAGCCCAAGCCAAGTAACGGGGCTTGCTAAATGTACCGTTCTGTGGATGGTTAAGGAATTTTGATGGGCCTATGTGGAATTAGCATTGCGAAAGACTTGGGCTACTTAGGAGCAACCAAAGTTTAAATCCCATAGTTTTGGCTTCACGTGGGAATGCTTGAGAGATAACTACTGTATACTTACCCTTTCCCTTACAAACGAACTAAGATATTCAGGAACCAACCAAACCTAAGACTGAGTTGACCAGGTCACGTTCAGCTTAGAGCCGTGTGCGCCATTAATATAGAGAGAATGAACTTTTTCTTTCCAAATTTACACAAAAAAACGAGGAGTAAAATAAGGAGGAGCATTTCCAAAAAAAAAAGAGTCTCTGGAAACTAGCGCTAAAAGAAGGCGCTTTGGCCAGTATGCTCAACCCAGCTTCACAAGACTAGTAACATTCTTCAACGTTATACCAAAAAAGGAACTCCATAGTTGTACCCATGAAGATAAGAAAGGAAGACTTAGCAGGTTTGGAGGAGGCAAAAAAACAAAAAGATTCCCCCAATAGAACTTGAAGGGATCCCAGCACCCCATAAATGAAAATAATCATTACAGGCAACAACAACAGAACAACGAGGGGAAGGGAAAGACTAGGGCAAGAACGGGGAAGGGAAAGACTAGGGCAAGAACGCACCAAGCAAAGCACACTTTCTCTAAGTGCAGGAAACCCTACTTTTTGAGGGATAAGCTTTTCTTTCATCATGAGCCTTCCCATAAGCTTCCTTAGCTCTTGCCAAACAAATAAACCATGAGAAATCCTAAATTAGCCACTTCAAAAATCATACAACCAATAACAACCTCTCTGCCTCTCTCTCATTAGCTTTCACACTAACTACACATCCCTTAAGCAAGTCATGATTTATTGTGATTACTCAAACGTTATTAGTGTTTGTTAGTTTATCAAATCCTCCTCAAATCCGCCGAAAACATTCAACTACTGTGAGAAGCACTTCATCCATGAGGGAAACATCCCACTATTGCAAGAAGAATTCCAACAATCAATTGAGGAGCTTCCATGGACGCGGGAAGAACTTCCACAACCACAGTCACGAGAAGAACTTCCACAGCCTTAGGAGGAGCTTCAACTACCGTGTGAAGCACCTCAATAGTTGCATGAACCATTTTAACAACCGTAGCTAGAACTTCAACTAGCACGGAAAACACCTCAGAAGTGCTGGAAGCACTTCATTGGAGCCAAAAACACT